TAATGGGAGATCTGATACTTGTTATTCACAATGGCGTCGTCTAATAATTTTGACGCCGAAATTGTTAAATTGTATTAGTCTACTACGATAAATGGCAAAAGGCATACGGAGGGAAAGGGCTTATCGAAGATAAAAATAAAAAAGTTGACAGATTTAAAAGAACAGGATCTATAAAAGATGGGCGACATTCCAATACATTTTTTATGTTAGGACAGACATTATGTCATAGATAATAAGACCAATTAACAAAGTAAAAGTGCTAAAAGAGTACAAGTATACAACTAATGAAATTTATATATATTTATGTGATTTATAATCGGTAAAATTATATTGATTCAATAACCTTATGCACAACCCTCAAATGAGTTGAAATATGTGAGTAAAGTGCCGGGTAACTAAGATCAATTAATTCTTTGCGATTTACAACTTCTCCCGTAATTAAGCCTATATTAACTAGGATACTAATACTATTTTAAGTGGATTATCCTAAATCTAACGAAATATTTTCATGAGATCAATTATGCTGCTTCTGATTCGCGAAAAAATGTGTAACATAGAATGTCTCTATTATTTAACATACATTAATATTGAAATTTGAAACTTAAACATAGTGAAATGTTCCAGAACAAATTATTATGCTGCTACAATTTTAACTGGTTAGAAATTATATAACTTCATGTAGTCTACATTCGCTCATAAGGATGTGTTATGCGATGAAAATTTGCAAAATCTTTCTCAATGAAATAATCTTTGTACATTTTTGTAATTGTCATTTTTGTATTGAAACATATTTTTCTCAAATTCTAAAAAAACACATTTGGTTGCCACAGGCTAAGGTGTCATTCATTTCTCAATTGGATGTTGAGCAATCTAAAAATGCATATTTTGATAAGTAATCTGTTGTACAAATTCTGGTGATAAGTCTTTATTGAAATAGAAGACATACATTCCGGCTTAAGACAGCCATTCCGGCTGAAGCCATATTTGTTTGATAAGGCGAACAAAAAGTGTTTTAGCACCTTTTTTCGGCATAAGCCGCCGGCAGTGGTCCGGGATATTTCGATATATAATTTGTGATTGGTTGTTTTTTTTTGTAACGTCAATGGTTATTGGTTCAAATCTTTTTTGGTCTTTCCTTAAAAAGTGTGTCTTTCCTTAGTAAAGTCACTTTATGTTGGACTTTACATGTGTTTTATTCTTTAAAATAAAAAAAGGAAAGTACACATATTCTTCTTGATATTTTAGGTAAGAATGTTATATTTTGATTTTCTGACAGATTTTGTTAAACTTGAATTCTCAGAATGTTGTAACATGTTCTCTCAAGATTACATTTTGTGAATTGTAAATGTGTCTATGTTTCTGTAATAGTTTAACATTTTTATTATTTTTGTTTGTTAACGGACCCAGTGTAAATTGATAATTCAATTTCGAATCCGCTGATTTATCCTTTTCCGTGATAAGCGCCTCTTTTGGCTAAACTGATATTGTAATGATGCAAGCAAAATAGATTTCATTGTAATTTAAGTTTTTAATCATTTAAGCAATAATGCAGGAACTATTAAGTACAGGTATTTGCACAATTCATTCTGAATTATTTAATTGTATGTATTTAACTTTAACTAGTTAAACGAAACGCATTGACAACGTTATAATTTATGCTTTTGATTATCTCTGACTATCCGAAAATATGGACTGTTGATAATTTGTAGTAAAATGAAGAACATTAAATTTAGCATTATTTTTATATTTGCATTTACTTGTTAATTGTTCTTGTCATTGGATATAAAGGAAATCTAAGGTTTATGACACAAATAGATTATACTGAATCATGTTTATAATTAATTGCAACATGTTTTATATTTCATGAAAACATGTTCTATATTTAATTGTGTCATTTTAACATGTTTTATAATTCATTTTAACATGTTTTATATTTCATTCCATATGTTTGATGTTATCATTTTCACTTTATGTTGGACTTTACATGTGTTTTATTCTTTAAAATAAAAAAAGGAAAGTACACATATTCTTCTTGATATTTTAGATGTCTTGGAAGAGAGTCAAAAACAGGGGCAACAACTCCTGAATTACCTAAACAATAGAAACCGTGCAACAAAGCACAAAAGATGTACAAATACATTTCTTTCATTTATATAAGTAGTTATTTTCTCCAAGTTTTTTTTTTCAGGATTCAAACAATAATTTTACAGGAAGTCAGTTTCTTGATTTATAGTCCTCAAAAGCATTAATTCAAATATAAAACAATAGAACTTAAACATAAATATATTGTTTTTGGAATAATTACGCATTAATTCTTAGACTTAGAATAATATGATAATGTTGTGATATGGCTGTATAATCCTTACATATTATGTGTTTCAGTATATGTCTCGGTTCAGAACTGTTCACTTATTAGGATGGAAGATGTGTAATTGGCCGGATAACCGCGGAACGGTATTCAGAAGATCCCGGGTTCGAGACCCGGTCAATCACATTTTTCTCACCCTGTAACATTTGGCGCCCAACGTGGGGCCGTGACAGGATATAACTCAGAGTTTAATTTACATTGCTTTGTAACTCTGTGAAATTCGAGGACGAATTTCAATAAAGCAGTGTAGGAGCACATTTGTCTCGGAGCACATTTGTCTTACGTAAGACAGATGCGGTCGCATTTGTCCCACATAAGACAAATGGGACCTCAAATGTCTACCCGAAAAAGCTCATTTGTGTGACAAATGTGCTCCGTTCAAGTTTTTTAAGGGCCAAGAAAGCACATTTGTCTCATGTGTTTTTAAGGGTCAAGAAAGCATATTTGTCTCATGTCATTTTTATGAATTATTTTTCACACATTTCCCCACGTCAGAAATTCTTTTTTAGAATCGAGGTTCGCCGTTTTACCACATGTCAAGTGTAATCATCAATAGGTTTGCTTATGTTTTCCTTATGAAAAACCTAAAGTGAACTATTAATTATAATATCTCTTATTCAAGAAATTGATTGGCTTAACCTGAAGGCGTAGACTGAAACATACTAAATCCCGTTCACGATGGCACAATGGTGACAGCGCGATGGCACGATGGTACGTTGATGAAAACGCGATGATGCGATGGTGAAAACACAATGGTACGAACGTGAAACAACGATTGTTCGATGGTGAAACAACGACGGCTCGATGATGAAAACGTGATGGTACTATGGCGAAAGAAACGGAACATCGTAATCGGTTGATACTGAATGATAAAATATCGTGACTCGTTTCGCATCTCGCCGAATTCTCGCGTCTCGCTTCGCATCTCGTTCGTCGGCGCGAGACAAGAAATTAGTTCCAGGTCATATACCACTATGTAGTATTCCCTTGGCTTATTATGACCTTAGTATTTCTCAAAATTAAAGTTTTTTTTATTTTTGGTATACTTTTATAGCTCTAAAGAGATACTCATTGGCTAATTACCTGAAGCATTTTTTCATCTGCTGCTTTTTGCAGTTTGTACAGTTGAAGTGATTTAGAATTTTGTATTGAAGTCAAAATACTACTTTTGTTTACATTTTGCTACTTTTATGACGCATTATTTCACATTTAACGCGAATTCCTTTGGGTTACAAGCATCTAACTTCCTCAGAAATCATTATTTGAATATTAATAAATTCATACTTGCCCTATCTAAAGAAATAAAAATTAATTCATTTCTGAAATCTCGTGGTACGGGATACTTCGACATTGCGAGATCTCGTGTTACAATATCGTGCCTCGCTTCGTGTCTCATCGGAATGTCTCGTCTCGCCCGATTCTGAGTGGCCCGATATTCCATAATTATGGCATTACCCTGGATTATTTTAGGAACTCATGCATGTTGTAAGTGCTTTTTCAATGGCGGATCTGAAAGCCGCAATTCTTGGAAAATGACGATTTTTTATACATATATTTCTGATGAAAACAAAACGTGTGTAATGGTCTTCTTATTTTCTTCCATAGATCATTTAAGGGCCTCCGTGGCCGAGTGATTTCAAAAAACCACTTGCCCCTAACCGCTGTAGGTTCGACACATACACGGGGCGTCGAACTATACATGCGAGGATCCCTGTCAGGGTCCAAATGCGGAATACATATCCGCGTGCGCACGTAATGCCACCTTTATGCCACCGTAGATACTACCTTGCTTTTGCTAAGAATATTCCTAGTGCCATAAATCATCTATTAAACTTTAACCATTGAAAATTATCGTATCACAATTAATAACGATAAGAATACACTTGCTGCATTTGTGTAAAGGTTCTGGATGCTGCACTTGTAGAAATTTTCATTGTGACATGCAGAGCAAGGATATTCTTTAATTTAATATATGACTCCTATGAATAGGCAGGAAGTTTTTGACTGACCGGAAGTGACCGAAAAACGGTATTATAAATACAGAAAACACAGAACAATAGCTGGTAGCCGGTATACTCGTTATCAATTGTTGACATGTATTGGATGCGTTTTACGGTACAAGAATCGTTTCCGTAAAAGAAAATACACAATAAACATACATCTTTCTTATAGATCATAGACGAAATGAAAGACACATTGAACAAACAATTGTTACATACAATCTTTGACGCATCTCATTGTCTCAGTAACTACAAATTGTTGACAATGTTAAATCAAATAGTCCGACACCGTTGTTTTAAAGAAGTATTTAAACATTTATCGAGATACGTGGAAAGCAATGTTTAAAGAAACAGTTCAAAGTTGACGACAATTTGTATCAATCATTTTATAAACCAATGCTTTTTAACAATAATTCTATGGTGGAGTTTGACAACATTTTGCGAACCAGTTTTGAAATAGAAAATCAGATATTTAGGTAAAAGAAATAAAATTGAATATATCTGAATATTAAACTTCATTCATACTGTAAAATCGACAGATGCTCATAAGCAAAGATATGACCCATAACAGCGACAACAAACTATTGTATAAAAAAATGAAAATAATAAACAACTATACAAACAGAACATACCTTACTGTCATACCAGTCGTATGTTAGATTATAATCTGTTAGGATATTCTTGTTATTATTGATGTCGTCCAGTGCCATTCTGACAGCAACTTGACATGAATCACCTCCAACCCAACCCGACCCTGTCTTTGGCAACATCCCCAGTAGCCTCAATTCTCGATTTCCTTCGTTACTACCGACGATTAATAATATCAAATATATCTTCATTCTTACTTTGCTGTCCATTGTTTGTAGTCTCATTAGTTTGTTTCTTCTAGGTATTTGTTGAATCACATATCTATGAAATATTTACTTAATCATTATTGAAGCAATAATAAACATTCATGTTTTTTTATTTTTGTTTTTTTCCTTACTTTTTTTTAGAAAAAAAAGAAGAACTTTTGTGATTGTCAGTTATTCTCCTTATATACCAATTAATAAATCCTTTGTGTGAATAACTGCCGCTAAACGGTTTCCTCTTCTACAACACAGAATAATTAATTTTCATTCATGCGACATTTCTTACTAATATCGATATTCTGATGACAAATTTGCCTCGTTGTACAAAAGAGCACCACGCTTCTCTTACTCTAGGAATAAACTTAGCTTATGACAACGTTTTAATTTAAAAGGCATTGCGACAGCTTGCATAAACAACAGAGGACAGTGTTCAATCACGTTACGGTTTTATCCAATACCAAAATAAGCGATGAATCTTCTTTAGAAAAATGTTTATCACATGTATGTGTTAATTCTTATTATCATATCTTAGGTAAGACTGGCACACGCTATCACATCATTTAATACGTCTCGTCGACTTTTTAATATTTCCATGAAATGATATTACTAATTGATAGTCGAGAATAAGATATTAATGTTAATATCAAGTTTTGAAATGCTTTTAAATTCGTTTAAAAGCAATCACGTTTGCATTATCGTGTTTCAGGTACATTTCCATACAAATAAAACTGTACAACTGGAGGAGGTAATGTAACAGAACGATTCCAGCAGAATACCTCAAATTCATTAAAAAGATATGACCACTTTTGTATAACTATAGACTTTGTAGGCGAAGATGGCAATAACATCAGGTGCTTGCATTGATACAGGTCTGTATATTCTGGCGTAAATGACTTTTAATGTAGGTTGTTCTTAACAATGTTTAATATGCGAGTGCTTCGGAATTAACAAATCATGATTCGGTATTTTAAGCATTTCAAGTCAATTAGACTGTTTCACTATATACAAAATATCATTATTAATAAATATTATTTTGATTGTTAACAGACAAAACTATGAAAAATGTTTTGTTGAGAAATCATTTTAGCTTAATTTAATTTAATCTGAAATGGTGAAAATATATCAGTATTTTACCATTAACATGATATCATAAATGAGGATTGAATACCGCTAAAACAGGCGCTAGAGGGCTTGCGATGTCATATATTTCTAGTATGTCTTATTAACAAGTTAAATAAAAACGACCCTGCAATCTTCATCCGTTTTGTTTTTCCCTTTTGCTTCAGATGGCTCCCCACTTTCCAAAGTTTGTTTTAGATATTTGTTTTACATTTACCGTGACTGAGAAAAAAAGAAAGAAAGAAAGAAAGAAAGAAAGAAAGAAAAAAAAACGATTAAATTCAAATTATGGTAATTGTTTTTATAAGTTTTCCTTTAAAACTAGGTATATTGTCGGCAGTTTCATTGTCTTTCGTGGTATGTAATGCAAATAATATCAATAGAATGAACTATGAACTTTAATGAATAATTGACTGTTATCAACTATTGTAACGTTTGAAATGAATGTGAAAAATCTTATATACATTGAGAGTATATTTTTTTTAAATTTTTTAAAAACATTCTTAGCAAAGTACATTTTAAAAGATGTGCTTTGAAAATTAAAAATAGAAAAAGAAGTTGTTTGTTTTACGTTTTTATCAGATTTTCTTAAAAAGCTAGAATTTAATCAATTTGCCATACATAACCAAACACCTTTTATATTGCTTGTATTTATAATGGTTTATAAAAAGGAGCAATAAGCAACAATATTATCATGTTATGGTATACTTAAGTGTTGAACGTGCAATTAACTAATTAAATCACGTCCTCATAAAACCTTTATTATTTTCAATAAATCACAAAGAACAGACCTTAATTGGTGTGACTTAGGAATTTGATTTCAAATAGATTGACAAAAATGATATATACTTTTATAAGTAGACATTTCAATTCGTTTACAAGAGGTTTATGTGGCATTAATTAATTAAACATGTATACGACACCTGATATTGGAGATATTCTCTTTTTCTGACCGTAGGGTATCTGTGTCTGTAAGCTACTTTTCCCGGATTTAAAGGGCGGGTAATGTATGGACTATTCATAATCATTGTTGTGGTTTTGTCGATCATTACGAACCGTCGGAAAATAAATTGAATATACAAATTTCAATTATAAAGAAATAATGAGATATTATCTTTTACTTGGTAGAATGAAATATCTGGAAAAAGTGATCCTTCGGAAGCACTAAAATCAGCAAATTAGTAGAATCTACATGAAAATTGCAGACTCTGTTTGATTGTATATATAACATCAATCATGCCCCTTAGCACCGGCTTGTACTCTATTTTCAACACTTAATGTGCTGGAATCAATGAGCATGAGAGACCAGAAAAACAACACTGAAGTCTTATGAGGCACAAATAAACACGCAACAAACTAAAGAGGTGATCTTTACTAGGTATGATTTCAAATATACATGTATATGCATTACATTGCTCAGAAATAACCAAGCAATGATTTAATTGGGCTTACCACGGTGAGATATGTAAGATACTTCTTGTTGCATATAGATTATAATCTTCTCTATGAAATATAATTGTGTGAGGTGAAGTGTGCCATGATATTAGATAGGGCAATTTTTATTGGTATTCGCAAGATATTAGAGGGTAATGTATTTAGAGCGACGACAACAATACACTAAGTAAAAAGTGCAGCACTATTCAATGAAATTTAATCGTGTAGTCTTTCTTTTACCAGGTGCTTGTAAAGCAGTTAGAACTGCCTTCAGAGTTATTTGAAATATAGTAAAGAGCAACCTTGAAACATCACAGCATGCAAGAAAGTATTGGGGAACCTTTGATAGTCGGCAAGTGATGCCTAACGCTATACGATTGACAAACTGCATTTGTTTTCTTTCTCAAAACTTGTTTTACTTATTTAACCTTTTGTAACAATAACAACTGTTAGAATTTAACTTGGCGGGGATTCATTTTATTTACACTGTCTCGTTTATAGGAACATGGTGGGGCTAAGATTGAGGTTTGGTGCACCATTAACCGGTTTTAACTCCCCAGCAGTACAAGGCGGCGCCATCTGTGTTCCTCAGATGTATGTCTATGCTGTCTCATACTGTTTTGGTGACACTTTTGCTTGTGTCCCTCGTTGTATCTCGTCTACGGTAAGTATCTCCCCCCTATGCCCCTAGTCTTATTTCTTTTAATTTACCCCCCCCCCCACCCTTCCCCGGGTCTCCTGTCCCCTTCCCCTGTGCCCTTTGACTTTATGGGCCTATTATTCGATCACTTATTTTTTTCTTTGATTTCCTTATCAGTTACAAATTAGTTCCTTTTATTCAATCATTTGTCAGTTTTCTTTGGATTCCTTATCAGTTTAAAATCATTTGAGTGATTAGCCTGTCCGTGCTCTTCCTTGTGTCCTGTCATGTTTTTTATTTGGGGTCCGCCTGGGCTCCATGCCAATGGTTCTTGTTGCTGGGTCCTGTGTGGGTTGCGTCCATTGAACGCCACCTTTCCTTGCTAATCTCGTTTATCATATTTAATGTACAAATATGTTTTCAGTTTATATTTTACATTGCTAAAAAACAACATGTTTTTATATAAATCGCTACATAAAAATAAGTTTGTAATTCAGTAACAAAAAGATGACAGAATGCAATTTGTTGTAACTAAATATTATCCGTTCATCATCTAATATCGGTGTTTTTAAAAACATTCTGCGTTTTTGTTTTTGTTTTTTTTTTGAAGCATTAATTGCATTTTAAAGGGAGACACAGGCAAAATTTTCATTTCTTAGTTTTGAATTTTTTCATCCCTAATTCTGTAAATGCCCTCAAAATGAATATATTAGACAGTCAAAGGAACAAAACTTTCCTCCATATAAAGAATAAAATGGTGGTTTCCTAACCTGACCCGCGTGGGTCAGGTTAGAGCGCTAGGACTTCACAATAGTTGTAACAGTGAACTCTGGAAACGTTAAAGAACATGTCAAATGAATGATTTTGACTTGTTTCAATCATACAATATCCACAATATCTGTTAATGTAACTTCAAGGATTTGTTCAAGTCACCTGACTTGTTTTAAAACTATTCGGTGATTCTATGGGCGTCTAAATTTTGTTCAACATATATAGATATATTTATGTGTCAAATCCAAAATATATAGAATTTAAAGAGAAATTCATGCTGAAACTTTTAGAAATGTCATTTTAGCGCGAGTTGAGTACAAAAGATCATTTTAATTTTTTTGTCATTAATTTGCCTGAATATCCCTTTAATCCCAAGCAGCGTGTATAAAATGACTTATTTGCAATTATGGAAGTTTTCAGTTTTATGGCCGGACTCATGTGTATAATTTGCTGTTTTAAAGTAATAATGTTAAGTATCGTTTTCTTTAATCTAAATTAACAGGAAGTTCTTATTCTTACTGAAAAGTGTTGTTTCGTATAAACAATCTTACAAAGCTTGCGAATCTAGACGTGAAAATTTTCCAAATGTGATGTGATTGTTTTTATTACATATTATTGATGACTTGCATCTTTATTAATGTTATTATATTAATTGTGATAATCGGGATCATTTATTCAAGCACATTGATGGAATACCGCTTAAGCCGGTGCTATGGGGCTTGAGGGATTTTGCACATTTCCATTATCCTTAATAAACAGACTCAATCAAACCGAGTCTACAATTATATTGTACTTATGTTGTAAACTGCTTCCGGGTTATCATCCTTTTTTTCTCTTTTTATCAAACAGAATTATTTTTATTTTCTGAAGATGCTTAAACATTAATAAGATGGTTCCAAGTATGTATTTCGGATCCCTTCAATGACATGATTTTTATTAACAAATACTAAGCCAATTGTTATTTTACCGAAGTTGCACGAATTATACACAATTAAACCGGTTGCTTGTTTCTATAAATTGACTTTTTGTTATATTTGTAATCCTTATGATATATATGTGGAATGTGGACTGCACGCGACTCATTTTGTTTAGAGTTGTTT